ATCCAGAATCTTAAACAAATTTATAAGAGTACATAAACAAATTTACAAGAAAAAAACCAACAACCCCATCAAAAAGTGGGCAAAGGATATGAACAGACACTTTACAAAAGAAGACATTCATGCCGCCAACAAACATGTGAAAAAATGCTCATCATCACTGGTCATTAGAGAAATGCAAGAGATACCATCTCATGCCAGTTAGAATGGCCATCACTATATACATCTGGAGACAACAGGCACTGGAGAAGATGTGGAGAAATAGGAACGCTTTTACACTGTTGGTGGGAGTGTAAATTAATTCAACCATTGTGGAAGACAGTGTGGCGATTCCTCAAGGACACAGAAGTAGAAATACCATTTGACCCAGCAATCCCATTACTGAGGATATACCCAAGGATTATGAATCATTCTGTCACAAAGACACATGCACATGTATGTTTATTGCACCACTGTTCACAATAGCAAAGACTCAAAACCAACCCTAATGCCTATCAATGATTGGCCAGATAAAGAAAATGTGGCATATATACACTGGAATACAATGCAGCCAGAAAAAAAGGATGAGTTCATGTCCTTTGCAGGGACACGGATGAATCTGGAAACCATCATTCTCAGTAAAACTGACACAAGAACAGAAAACCAAACACCACATGTTCTCACTCATAAGTGGGTGCTGAACAATGAGAACACACGGACACCAGGAGCAGAACGTCACACACCGGGGCCCAGGTGGTTGGCGGCTGGGGAGGAGTAGCAGGGGGTTGAGGGGATTGGGGAGCATTAGGATATATAAATACCTAATGTAGATGACAGGGCAATGGATGCAGCAAACCACCACCACGTCAAATATATACCTAGGTAACAAACCTCAATGATCTGCACATGCACCACAGAACTTAATAAATTTTAAAAGAAAGCAGCAGCAAGGAGGGCTACATGATGATACGAATGGTCAAAATAATAAATCTACTCTAGGCCAGAAAGATGTAAGAGTTCATTATGCCAGAAGTGAAACAGTACCACGTGATGGCACATTCCAAGATTTACTCTTTGGTTCTAACTGCCTAAAAGGGAAAGAAGAACTGAAGAGGCCTGAGAGTTAAATACATGAGGAAAGCTGAAGACAGATTGAAATTGGAACCCAAGGTCATGATACATGAGTATCGTCAGTTCAAGCTGGAAAAGCCTTATTTTGCTTGAACTAGAGTCAGGAAAGGAGTTATCCATAAAAGTGAAATTCATTATAAAATTTTACGTTTCCATGTTATAAAGAAAGAGAGCAATGAGAAAAGCGGTTAAGAAAAAGTAGGACAATTTAAGAGTATTTGAAATAATGTGTTTCTAAAATGTGGCAGACCTGAGAATGAAGACAAAACACAAGAAACTAAGCTGAGGGGATATGGGCCACTGAAAATCTAGGTGGAACAGAAAAGGCAAAAAGGCTATTCACAATCTCAATTATAGCTCAGGCTAACAATTATGTGATGGACGGTTTAAAAAGCTTCCTCATCAGTTCATTTATTTTAAATCAGACCATGTCACATCCTGCCAGACCTATTCTCCAAACAGGTCCAAAATAATAAATTGTATAATATCCATTTTGCTGTGTTCTTCTCCACTTCAAAATCTTTCCATGTTTCCTTAAACTTCATTGAAAAAATTACTTATATTCTCAGGTAGAAACTGGTTCAAATGTATACCCTTGCTTTACGGTCTTGATACCTTTACTCTCACAACGATTCCCTACTTCATCTAAAATTCCTTACTACTAACGAAGCTTTATTTTTTTAAATAGGGTTCTTAAAAAGACATGACTCGATTTAGCATTGTGATTAACGATTGCTGTTATTTCTGCTTTTACCTAAAATTTTCGGTTTATGTACATTCACGTACCACATGATATTTCAGTGAATGACAAATCTCATATTTGATAGTGGGCCTGTAAAATTATAATAGTACTGAAACATTCCTATCGCCTGCTGAGAGCGTAGCAGTTGTAAAATTGCAACACATTCCTCACGTGTCTGTGGTGATGCTGGTGGAGACAACCCAACTTGCTGCCTGTCATATAAGAGTCTATCTAGCACATCCATCACATAAAATACGTAATACTTGCTAATGATAACAAACGGCTACGAACTGGTTAATGTCTTGACACCACACTACTTTTTTTAAAACCACTGTTTTAGAATATACTCCTACTATAAACAAAAGTTAACTGTCAGGCAGCCTCAAAGGGAATTTCAGGAAATATTCCAGGAGGAGGCACTGTTACCATACCAGATACGTTTATACATGTGTTAGTGCCCTAAACACCTTCCATTAGAATAAGATGTGGATGGGGGAAGATGGTGATATTCAGGATCCTGAGTCTGTGTAGGCCTAGGCCAATGTGTGTCTTTATGTCTTAAATTTTAACAAAAATGTTAAAAAAAAAAAAAAGGCAAAAAAAACTTAAAAAAAAAAAAAAAAAAAAAAAAAGCTTACAGAAGGACCATATGGAGAAGGAAAATACTTTGTACAACTGCTCAATACATTTGTGTTTTAAGCTGTTATTAGAAAAGAGTAAAATATTCAAATAGGAATTAAATGTTTATGAAATAGACAAAAGAACACAGACTCATACACCAATGAAACAGAATAGAGAGCCCAGAAATGAGGCTGCACACCTACAGCCATCTGATCTTTGACAAAGCTGACAAAAAGCAGCAATGGGGAAACAACTTCCTATTCAATGAATGTTGATGAGCTAACTGGCTGATCCACATGCAGAAAATTGAAACAGGACCCCTTCCTTATACCTTACACAAAAATCAGTTCAAGACGGATTAAAGACTGAAATGTAAAGCCTGAAACCATAAATGCCCTGGGGCGACAACTTGGGTAATGCCATTCTGGACACAGGCATGGACAAAATGCCTTCTTCATCTTTCATGATGAAGACGTCAAAACAAACTGCAACAAAAGCAAAAATTGACACGAGTACTAATTAAAGAGTTTCTGCACAGACAAAGAAACTGTCTACACACAGAGTAAATAGAAAACCTACAGAATGGGAGAGTTTTTACAAACTATGCATCTGACAACGATCTAATTGCCAGCATCTATAAAAGAACCTAAACAAATTTACAAGAAGAAAACAAACAACCCCATTATGAAGTGGGCAATGGACATAAACAGACTTTTCAGAGACATACATGTGACCCACAAACATATGAAAAAAAGGCTCAGCCTCTGTGATCATTAGAGAAATGCAAAACAAAATCACAGTGAGATACCACCTGACCACGCCAGTCAGAATGGCAGCTAAGAGAAAGTCAGGAAATAGCAGATTCTGGCAAGGTTTCGGAGAAAAAGGAACTCATAAACACTGTTGGTGAGAGTGTAAATTAGTCAAGACTGTGGCAATTCCTCAAAGATCTAGGGACAGAAATACCATTTGTTTGACCCAGGTATCCCATTTCTGGATATATACCCAAAGTTAAATAAATTTTCCTACATGAAGACATATGCCTATGCTACACTCACTGCAGCACCACTCACGATAGCAAAGACATGAAATCAACCTAAATGCCCATTAATGATAGCTTGGGTAAAGAAAAAGTGGTACATACACACCATGCAATACGAGGCAGCCATTACAAGAACGAGATCATGCCCTTTGCAGAAACATGGATGGAGCCGGAGGCCATTATCCTTAGCAAAGCTAACACAGGAAGAGAAAATCAAATAGCACAATGTCCTCGCTGATAAGCGGCACCTAAATGATGAGAACACATTGATGCATGCATACAACACATACTGGGGACTATCAGGGGGTGAAGGATGGGAGGAGAGAGAGGATCAGGAGAAATAACTAAGGGATAATAGGCTTAATACCTGGGTGATGAAATAAACTGTGTAACAAACCCCCATGACACAAGTGTACCTACATAACAAATCTGCAGACATACTCTGAGCAAAAGTTAAAAAGGAAATTACAGTAGCTGAGGCTAATTTACCATTAAAGAAAGATACCTTTATATAAACTTAATGTAGCCAAAGTGTAACATGTTTTTTAGGTCTGTAGGAGTGTACAACCATGTCCAAAGTCTTCACATTCTCTAACCAGTCAGTTCCTCACCCAGAGAAACTTCCCGTCCTGCAAGTTTCGTGCCTGGTAAGTGTACGGTATTTTATGTCTTTCACAATGCTTTTATTGTACTAACTCTACATTTGGATATTTTGACACACAAATACTCACCACTGTCTTATAACTGCCAACAATATTCAGTACAGTATCACGCTGTGCAGCTTTGCAGCCTAGGAGCAATAGGCTCTACCACACAGCCTTGGTGTGAAGGAGGTCACAGCATCCAGTTTTATGTAAGCAGGCGGCATGTATGCAACAATGACAAAATTGTCTAGTCATGCTTTTCTCAAAACACATCTCCATCGCCTGACCGTACATAACTATATACTTGATTTTTCAATCTGAAAAGTCTATGTATCTATTGTCATATACGTTTGGAAACTAAGAGTTAAATATAGGATTATTTCAACGTCTAAAGTTTTACCTCACTACCAAGCCAAAAGTAAATTTTGTGGAAATTCTGATGTCTGCATAATTTTATGAGATTTCCTAAGAAGCAGAACAAGACTGCAATTTTGCCAGCATGCAACTATTTACTTCAGTAATTTCTAGTTAATTTTATACTGGATTTTTTTTGTTTGTTTGTTTTGTTTTGTTTTTTGTCCATGTATCATCTACCCTTTCCCAGTAAAGCTTGCCGAATGCTGAGTCTGTGCTTCTTTTTTTGTTGTTCCGAGATGGAGTTTCACTCTTGTTGCCCAGGCTGGAGTGCAATGGCAGGATCTCGGCTACTGCATCCTCTGCCTCCAGGGTTCAAGCGATTCTCGTGCCTCAGCCTCAAATGGGGTTGTTTGTTTGTAGTCTGTCCACTTTTGTTATTCATTTTCACACACTGCCACCCTTGTTTGCCTTCTCCCCTCTCACATACCTGGCCACCTGACCACTGACCAGTCCCAGGACTTGAGAAATGCAAGCCTCCACCTCACTCAGGCAGTTCTTCAGTCGCTGAAGCAGCTCACTGTTAGGAAACCTCCTCTCACGAGCCTCCGATTCCAGTGCCCTGAGCTCTTCAAAGCCTAGAGGGAGTACAAGTTGCAACAGGTAGGCAGTGTTAGCAGAAAAAGAAGGCTGTGAATACCCAAAAGAAACAGGGCTTATTCAAGGGGCCCTTCCATTTCCCATCACTCACTGCGCTTACGGCCATCCTCCACCTCCAAGGCCACTCTCACTTTGTTGGCCCAGGTGTCAAAAGACTCCGCCCGAATCTTCAGTTTATGCAGCATGGTGGGGAGCTCATCCAAGGTGTACCGATACCTAGAGGAAAAAAGCGGAGAAGGGTACACGTCTGGCCCAGCTCTGTAACCTCCTCCCCATCCCCTCAGTGTTCCCATGCTCACCGTAGGTACTGTCGACTACTAGAACACTTGCACAGGTCATTGATGTGGGAAAGGCATACAAGGCCATCCGGGCAGTCGTAGCAGGCCAGGGCGGACAAGAAGCATGTGGTCTTGCACTTGAGGCACTGGCGTTCATCATCTGGGAGTAGCTCAAAAGCCTCTCGCTCAGCCTCCGTGATGCCCTGGGGGTGTTCAACCCACATATACTGTAAAGACTAGGAGCACGTTGTGGACACCCCACCTCAGCCAACACTGAGCCCCGCTGTGGACTCAACCTTGTAAGAATAGCTGTAGAGAAATTGGAAGAAAAAATATAAACACATACAGCCTCTGTCTTTACATTTCAAAATGCATGATTTAAAGATCAGACACACAATGGTTAATCACTGTTGGTCTGTGGCTCTGTAACATAGTGTGTGTGACTAAATCTCTAAGCCCTGCTCTTCACCACCCACCTTCTCCAAAAGGGCCTTTCGCAGACGTCGCTCCTCCTGAACCATGATGAACATCTCCTTGTGCACAGCCACTGCTAGATTCAGATCCAACTTCTCCGGGAAAGCAGCCATCTTGCAGATAAGCTCCTCATGGGAGAAGACACAATAGCGCCGAAGCCGGCGGTAGTGTTCAATGCACTGGCGTCCAGTGGGTAGCTGCAAGTGTGTTCAAGACTGTGTGTGGCTCTCTGGAGACCACGCTTAGTGTCTCCGCAATAATCCTTACCCATATTCTTTACACTTTCTACCTGCAGGACCACCACATTTCAACTCACCCAGTCAGCAGTGCAAAAGTTGACAGCTTCAGCAAAATTATAGCCTTGGTTAAAGCCACTGTGGTAAGCACGAGGAAAAGTGATGACAAATTCCCCTGCACACTGGTTTGTGCGGACAACCTAAAAAGGACAAAGGAAAACAGAAAGAGGTGTGGGTGAAAACTAATGGGTCAGATGTGAACTCAAAATGTCTCTAGACACTGGAACAGATGTAGGAAGAGACAAAACACTCTATCTTCAAGCATGTACCTTAACAAAAATGAGACTGAAGTTTACAAGCGGTATTCAGAGAAAATGTGTAATTAAAGAAACAAATACAGAGCAGAAGGCTCATACCTGTAATCCCAGTACTTTGTGGGGTGAGATGGGTGGATCATTTGAGGTCAAGAATTCAAGAACAGCCTGGCCAACATGGTGAAACCATATCTCTACTAAAAATATACAAAAATTAGCCGGGCATGGTGGTGCGTGGCCTGTAATCCCAGCTACTTGGGAGGCTGTGGCAAGAGAATTGCTTGAGCTTGAGAGAAGGAGGTTGCAGTGAGCTGAAATAGCACCACGGTACTCTAGTCTGAGCAACAGAGTGAGACCTTGTCTCAAAAACAAAAACAAAAACCAAACAAACAAAAACCTTCACAGATACCAAGAAAACACTTCATGAATTTTCATAAGTTTTTTAATTTTGGTATTCTAAAGAGTGCTATAGTGTAATAAGTTCCCTGCATACATACTTGCACCTACTTCTATCTCAGCAACAACCTTGGGAAAGCAACCTGAGATGCTGGTAAGGCTGGCTGGTGCCAGGGACCACAATGGGAACCTTTGTCCCAAAGAATTAAGGTGGCATGTTTTGACCTGTCTGGTGACTTCCTGGAGGATTGACTTTCCTTCTCCACCCTGAGAGTTCCCTCAGAAGAGAGGTATTAGCCACAGCAACGTCTGATTTTAAGAACCGAGAGAGCCACATTAATGACCAGGGCAAGAGGCACGCTCAGAAAAGATCTAAGACTCTCTAGGCTCACCTCTGTCTGACTTTTATAGTCTTTCTAAGCAGGAGGTGGAGTCTAAAACAGTTTTCAAAACAGCCCTGTAAAAGCATTCCCAATCAAACACAATCAGCAAAGACAGTGTGGTTGATATTATTATTAATTATTATCATTATTATTTTGGCTTAAGAAAGAGTCTGTTAGATTGCTAGATGATCACCAGGCTAATGGGAAGCAGAAAAAGCATATAATATCCAAAGATTACTCATGAATATAAAGAGTTGCCAACCAACCTAAGTCATTAGGAAAATGAAAATCAAAACCACAAGATGCTATTTCTGGTCACTGTGATGGCCATAAAAAAAATAGGCAGAAAATAACAGTGTTGGCAGGAATCCAGACACATTAGAACGCTGTGGGTGGCTAGCAAGAATGCAAAACAGCTATGAAACTGCTAGGGAAAACAGTATGGAAGTTCCCCAGAAAGCTAAAAGAGAGAATTACCATATGATTGTCCAATACCGCTTCTGGGTATATACCCCAAAAAACTGAAAGAAAGAGCTTGAACAAATATTTGCACACTTTATGTTCACAGCAGAAATAGTCACAATAGCTAACTGGTGGAAACAACACAAATGTGCCTCAACAGATGCATGGATAAGTAAAATGTGGTCTGTCCCTACAATGTAATATTATTCAGCCATAGAAAAAGAATGAAAATCTGACACACACCATAGCACAGAAGAACTTTGAGGAAATTACACTACTAAGTAATGGAAATCAGATATAAAAGGCCACATATTATATGATTCCATTTATAGGAAATATGCAGACTAGACACATACATAGAGACAAAGCAAATCTGTGGTCCAAGGCTAGAAGGAAAGGTGAATGAGAAGTTACTTCATTGCTCTGAGACATTTTCTGGGGCAATAAAAATGTTTTAGAATTAAAGAGACATGGTGGCTGCACAACACTGTGAATGTACTAAATGTCACCAAACAGTTCAGTTTAAGATGGTTCATCTGTGTTTTATGAATTTAAAGCTATCCCCAAAAAACACTAGTTCAGGAAATTTACTAACCGAACAACAACTACTGTGAATAAAAGCAAGAAAAACAAATTTTTGAGAGAAGACAAGGAGGATAACATGATTTTCAGGATGCAACACCGAAAATGTTCAGTCTGGAAAATCAGGAGGCATACAAAGAATCCAGAAAGTACAGCCCTTCAGTTAAAAGAAAAAAGCTCCGAGACAGCCCAGGCACTGGCCTTAATAAAGGCTACCAACTCTCTTAAACAGGCTTAAATAGCTAAATAAGCAATGCACAAAGAATTAAAGGACATCAGGAGAGTAATGTCCCTCCAACAAGAGTTCCAAGACTTTGGCACAAAAATTATAAAAAATGAAACAAATCAAAATTCTGAAGCTCTCAGTCCCATAGCAAAAGTGAGAAACTTAAAAGACAGTTTCAAAAGGAGTTTTGGGCAGGGAGAAGAAAGAACTGGCAAACTCTAAGATATGTCAATTGAAATAACCAAGTCAGCAGGGGGCAAAAAGAGAGTATTAAACAGATCCTAGGAGACCTGTGCAACACCATCAAGTCCACCAATATATGCAGAATGAGAGTTTCGTAAGAAGAGGAGAAAAGAGGGTGCAAAAGAACAGTTGAAGCAAAAATCATTAAACAGTTTCCAAATTTGTGGAATGCCCTGAAAGTCTACCTACAACCACGAAGTTCAGTGCACTCCAACTAGATAAACTCTAGGAGACACCGTATATTTGAACCATCAAAAGATAAGACACCAAGATGGAAGTTCACAGCAGCATGACAGACATGATCCTTCACACATAATGGATTATTAACAGAATTATCAACAGATTTCTCCTTAGAAATAATGAAGGCCAGAAGCCAGTAGGATGACATGTTTAAAGTCCTGCAATGGAAAAAGAATAAATAAACTAGTAGGGAAGTGAACATTCTGGAAGTATGTCTCCCAAAATCCTCCCTATGGGGAATACAGAAGGACTCCTTCAGGCTGACATGAGTAATTCAGAGCCATGTAAAGAAAGTTATTCCACTGGGAAAGGTACCTATATAAAAAAATATAGGAGGTAGGTCCAAGATGGCCTAATAGCCACAACTCTGATGTGCACGTCCCAGAGAGATCGATAAAAAAGTCAGGTGATTTCTGCATTTCCAACTGAGGTACCAGGTTCATCTCACTGGGACTGGTCAGACAGTGGGCGTAGCCCAAAGAGAGTGAGTTGAAGCAGAGTGAGGCATCACCTCACCCAGAAAGCGCAAGGGGTCACAGAACTTCGTCTCTTAGCCAAGGGAAGGCATTAGAGACAGTGCCCTGCACCCCGGCCCAGACACTGTGCTTTTCCCATGGTCTTCGTAACACACAGACCAGGAGATTCCCTCCAGTACCTACACTACCAGGGCTCTGGGTTTCCAGCTCTAAACTGGGCAGCCATCTGGGCAGACACTGAGCTGGCTGCAGCAGTTTTGTTTTTCTTTTTTTATACCCCAGTGGCACCTGGAATGCCAGCAAGACAGAACCACTCGCTCCCCTGGAAAGAGGGCTGAGGCCAGAGGGCCAAGTGGTCTGGCTCAGCGGATTGGACCTCCATGGACACCGGCAAGCTAAGACCCACTGGCATGAAATTCTCACAGCCAGCATGGCAGCCTGAGCTGGACCTGGGATGCTCAAGCTACGTGTGGGGAGGAGCATCTGCCATTGCTGAGGCTCAGGTAGGTAGGTGGCTTTAAAATTACAGTTTGGACTGAGCGGAGCGACAGCTCAGCAAGTGCGCAGCAGACTGACTGTCTCACCTAGAGTCCCTGCTCCCTGGGCAGGGCATCTCTGAAAAAAGGCAGTGGCCCCAGTCAGGGACTTATACATAAAGCCGTCACCTTCCTGGGACAGAGGCTGAGAAAAGGGGCAGTTGTGAACACAGCTTCAGCAGACTTAAATGTCCCTGCCTGGCAGCTCTGAAGAGAGCAGAGGATCCCCTAGCACAGCACCTGAACTCTGATAAGGCACAGACTGCCTCCTCAAGTGGCTCCCTGATCCCCATGTATCCTGACCCGTAGGCACCTCCCACTAGGGCCCGACAGAGACACCTCATACATGAGAGCTCTGGCTGGCATCTGGTAGGTCGCTCTCTGGGACGAAGCTACCATAGGAAGGATCGGGCAACAATCTCTGCTGTTTTGGAGCCTCTGCTGGTGATACCCCCTAGGCAAGCAGGGCCTAGAGTGGACCTCCAGCATTTAGCACGCCTGCAGCAGATGGGCCTGATGGCCTGACTGTTAGAAGGAAAACTAACAAACAGAAGTAATCCTATCAACATCAACAAAAAGGATGGCCACTCAGAGACCCCATCCAAAGGTCACTGACTTCAAAGACCAAAGGTAGATAAACCCACAAAGAAGGGAATAAACCAGTGCGAAAAGGCAGAAAATTCCAAAAAAGCAGAATGCCTCTTCTCCTCCAAGGAATCACAATTCCGTGCCAGCAAGGGACCAAAACTGGATGGAGAATGAGTTTGGCAAATTGGCAGAAGAAGGCTTTAGAAGGTGGGTAATAACAAACTTCTCTGGGCTAAAGGAGCATATTCTAATGCAATGCAAGGAAACTAACAGCGTTGAAAAAAGGTTAGACAAATTGCTAACTAGAATAACCAGTTCAGAGAAGAACATGAAACAACCCGAGGGAGCTGTAAAACGCAGCAAGAGAACTTCATGAAACATACAGAAGTTCCAATAGCTGAGTCAAGGTTATCAGACATTGATGATGTACTCCATGAAAGCAAGAAGGAAAGATGAGAGAAAAAGAGTGAAAAGAAACAAACAAAGCCTCCAAGAAATATGGGATTACGTGGAAAGACCAAATCCACATTTGATCGGTGTAGCTGAAAGTGGTGGGGATAATGAAAACAAGTTGGAAAACACTATTTGGGATTATTATCCAGGAGAACTTCTCCAACCTAGCAGAAAGGTCAACATTCAAATTCAGGAAATACAGAAACCACTACAAAGGTATTCCTCAAGAGCAACCGGGGTTCCAAGGCACATAGTCATCAGATTCACCATGGCCGAAATGAAGAAAAAGTGTTAAGGGAAG